TGCGACAATGTTCAAGTTCTATTCAAAAATAGTTCTCATGCTCCATTTGCCTATCAAAATTTAAAAAATGACAGCAAAACTAGTAAATGTGGAAATGTTTCTGCTTATCCCTTACCAAATAGTTCCCATTTTCACTTTAAATAAATATAATCATTCAATGAGATAATAACTAATTTGTATTTTTAGTGGAGTATATCTTTACTAAATCAACAATGCAACGTTTGCATAGTTATGAAAGACTAAGACGATGTGGCCTTTTGCTTGGTCTCAGTCTTCTTTGGTCGTAGAGTGTTGACTTGATCTCGTTTTTGCAACTTGGTCGGAGAGAAAGGAAGACAATGTTGAATCCACCTAGTTCTGCATCCTCCGTCATGATGCTTTCCAGACGTTTCGTAGTCATCATAAATAAGAGTTACAACTTATCAAAGTGACAAGTGAAGGCCAGATTTCTGTTCAACCATTGTGACATAACTTTTAGCTTCAATATTTCGTCCTACTTCATATGGCCTATTTACCTATTCACACCATTCTGTCCTCTGGTTTCCTTCGATTTCGCGTAAGAGAGCATAATCACCCTCACCATCGGTTCCCGATGCCTTTCATAGGGCCTCTGACTTTTAGTTAGCTCCCTCCCTCCGTTTGTCAATGGATCGTTGATACACATGATCTGGATCGCCATCTGGATGTCTGAAATCTGGCTGTTTATGTGTCTTCGATTCCGATCCCCGTTTATGTCACATTAAAAGATTTAAAAAGGGCGGTTCTAGTTCCTAGGAATCTTCTTCTCCCTATGCTTCACTAACTCCACTTTGATGGACAGCTTAGACGACAATGGAGGAAAAGAGAGCACATAATGGTGTGAATGGGCAATATTAAGTGGGGTTTAGATAATGTTGGTAGAAAAATAGGAGCAGGGAGTGATGCCACAATGGTTGAATAGAAAATAGATCAAGGCGAATGACTTCAATTGTCACTTTGCTAGGTTGTAACTCTGTGCTAAGGATAGTGCCTCTCAATTATGCTGCTGACGAAAAGTCTGGGAATGTACCAAGTCAACAGTCTGCTGTCGGAAATCATGATGAATACTGTGGCAGAGGAAGCAGCACCATGTAGGTTCTACAAGATCTCCCTTTTGCCCCGACAAAGTTGCGAAAACGAGGTCAAGCCAACACTCAGATTGCATAGTTTATGTCAAACTAATAAGTTTGAAGACCGTTTAACGCACACCACCACCAAGAAAATCAAGAATGCCGTTTTTCGTGGTCAAACTTCTCATCCGCCCCGGGTTGAGAACTTTCCAGGGCAAACCGGTACCCTCACCTGACAGGGCTCCACTGGACTTCATGGTCCCAAAACGTCGTCAGCAAAACATCGACATAAAGAGACCCTATCGAGGCCTAATTATAACAAAAAAATATAGCTCGAGCATATTATCTTGGCTTATCTGTCGGTACAAGTCATTGAGCACAGATGAAAGAATGTGGGGACGTTGATTCTATGCTTAGCCTTAGCTCCCTTCGGGCACATATTTTTCAGCATTGCCTCTCCCCGACAAACCGATTCACTCTTGAGCCTTGTTTTCCTTTACAGCTTCGTGACGCCCAACCAAACGATCCGCTTCAAACTTATTCGCACTCCCCTTTTCCTGGTGCTTCGCCAGTCAGTCTGACGAACTCAGCAAATATCGAACCCGAAATGCTATTTCCAAGCTCTCCGGCGTCCGGATTGTTGACTCCAACTAGCACCGTCGAGCCTCAGCTTCCAGGGGCTTGGAGTTCTCACAATCATTACCGTCAGCAGCCGCAGCTAGTAGAGCCTCAGCCAAAGCAGTCAGTGCCGTCTGAATTGCTTCGGCTTGATGAAGAGCACCAGTTGATTGCTCGATATAGCCAGACATTGAGGCGCCAAAGTAATCCGGACCTGGTAAGCCAGTCTACATTTGAGCATTCCCTCATTTCACAATCTTTTCACACAATCTGTCCTAAAGCCTCAAGGTAAAATAGCAATCTACTTTCGCCGAATGCAAGTGGCTTGACCTCGTGTTTTCAGCAGGATCTAGATGGGCACACTGTCCGAAGTCCTCCGCTAGAGTAATTATGATAATGCCCGTCGTCGGACCATGAACTTAGTACATTTCCA